ATCTGTATATACTGTACTGTACAAAAACATTTTTGCCATCTTGGGATGAGACCAGAGGAGTCTTATTCTTAAAGACTGCTTTGAACACAGTAAGAAGGTTACTGCAGTGCAGTTCTGTTCAACACTACTTGTTCAAACCAAAACACACAAAATCCAAGAAATACAAGCAGGTCACGCAGAATGCTATGCTGATCATTTTATTTATGTAAACATAATTATCTGTGTATGCACAATATAACAAAAGCACTAATAACAAATACAGTTAAACAATATTTTCATTGTCTGTACCCAGGCTTGAGCTAATAAGCCTATATAGTTTTCTTAAGGCAAATTGAAAATCTACACATCATGTTGAACTGTGATACACTGAAGGATAGTTTAGACCATACACATTAAGATCCACTAAAAGGGACATTCAAATATGGATACACTAAAAAATCCCATCTTCCAATGCTATGAATCAATATCAATCAATACGAGTCCTTGCTGGCAAAAAAAACTATATAAAAGCCTTTAATATTCCTCACATTTATGGACAAAAATAAACCTTTTTTAATTTTCCTGTAAACGTGACAGCAGATTTATGAAGTGTTTGACATTGTTACCAGAATAAGGCAGGAGATGTAAACCATGAGATGATGTGATTCTGTCACATGGTCCACTTGCCCTCCAAGCTCTGCCAGTTTCAGAGGATCATTCAATATTCCCTTACTTCAACAGAAATCAATCTGAGCTGCAGTTCAAAGATATACACTAGTTGATATTAAGTTTGATAGGATATCTCCTTGAATCCCACAGTTTGAGTAAGAGTTAAAGGCATCCTTGTGGAGCAGACAAATCACCAGATTACACCTTTAAAAAATATAAATTCAATAGTCAGCATGATTTAACATTTCTAGACTGCTGTAAAATTATTGGTTGACCATACAATAACATCTTTTGGTGTTTGCAATACAGACGTCACTAATTACAAATTACAGTATCTCGTCAGGTTTGTTTTTTACAGCTGATTTAAGAAAACAACATTAGGCATATTTTTAATGCCCTGGAAACATTTTCTTATTGTAAAGATTAATGTTATCAGATCTATTTGCATGTCATATTTTCTTAAAATATGGTAAACTGCCTTGTACTGTATTACCTTAACTAACAACCAGTGAATTTTATAATTAGCCAATGGATTGTGGAATTGGCAACATTAGCAATGGCATTTTTCTAAAATCCCCCGTTTTGTATTGGATTTATTTTACTATGAACTGTGGAGCAGTGAGGATTTCCTTTGTATAAGTCTGCTTAAGAATGAATGTAAGGAGTTAAAATGAACATGCTCTTTCTGTGATCGCCATTGGCCTTTGTGGAACAATCAACCGTCTGCAGCTGTATCAGTGCGGAGACTGTTCTGGACTCCAAGCTAAATTTCAAAGCCAGTAATGACTTGATCCTCAAAAACGGACAACAGCATCTTCTTTACTTAAGGAAGCTGAAATATTTTAAGACTCATTGTTGATTTTGTTTTATCAGTCCTTCCTTGGATCTGTTCTAACTTTTACCCTGATCTGCTGGTTTGGGGACCTGAATCTGAGGAGCAAGAACAAACTGGGCAGCCTTCTGAAAATATGTCAGAGGATCATTGATGCTGATCTCCCTGCCCTCTCCCCCATCTATCATACACATCCATCTGTGATAATCCTTCACACCCCTTGTTTGATCATTTCCAGTTACTCCCATCAGAACACAGATACCAACTCCCAATCTCCAAAACCAACAGATTTATAGTAAGTTCTCAATCATACCCGTAGCCATATCGTTACTTAACACTTGACTTTCTAGGCAAATATTTATGTATATAGTTGTTCCTGTCGTGTTTTTATTTTGTCCTCTGTATACCAACACTGCTGCTGTAAAACAAATTGCCCCCCCCCCCACCAGGGATAATAATAACTCTCTCTCACCCTGCAGCTAGCAACTGGGAGCCCACTGAAGCTCAGCAGGTGTGAGCCTGGCCAGTACCTGGATGGGAGACTCCACTGGAAGAGGTGTTAGTGGGGTCTTGCGGCCGAATGATGTAAAAGATGAAATGAAAAACCCAGGTACTAACTCTCCATAGTCATTAAGAATTCCAGGGCATTTCTCAAAAAGAAGAGGGGTGTTATCCCAGTGTCCTGGGCACATTTCTCCCTTGCCTTTGGCAATTATAATCCCAGGCAGACCTTGCTAACTAGCCCTTCCCTAGGTCGAGTGGGCTGATTCTCCCACTCAATCCAATGGATGCTGCGTCAGTGCCCCCGAGTTGATCACACTCGTTATGACAACCCGTTTCATGATGACCTGGTACGTTTGCTACAAAGCAGGCACTAGAGTTCACTGGCCCCCTCACCTCTGGCAGTGCCCAGGACAGCACAGCCAGGTAGCCAGATTAACGCCACGCACTATGTTTGTGGATATTGGCACCTCCATGTCCATTACCGACCTCCCACGACCCCTACCCTCTAAACAAATTTCAATATCTGGTGTCCATGGTGCTCCCTGTACTGCAAAACTGTCCCTTCTTGTCCCAGTAGATCCTTTCTACTGGTACAACAAGGATAAATGAATGTTGCTTCTGGTCCTCATGCAGCTGTATCTAATATTATCTCATCAGATCTCTTATTTGTCCTATGCAAAAACCAGGTTTGTGTTTACACAGCTGTCCATTGGCCTTGAGGTAAGTAAACATGGAAGAGGAAATAGGTGATCTGAGGAGCTGTACAATTAGTTAACACAAGCTAAACTCATTTATTATTAAATTATCACATAAAGACATTCAATGTCATCTGCCTTGTGTTTGCCCAGTCTTGAATTTTTGCTAAAGCTTTTGGAATTTAATTTGCTGTCTCTCCAGTGTTAGTTAATCATTCTAACTCAGTGTTATTTTGTAAACATGGGTAGTTTAATTATTATACCAGACTCAACATTTGCTGTTCTCCTGTCCATGGATACTATTCCTGACTTGAGCGACTATTGCAAAAGTTGAATGCAGTTGAAGCTGATTAATGCAACTGATCTGCTCGTTGTTTTTAGACTAGTTTTCTGTACTCAGCCTTCAGTATCTGAATATTCTAGTCCAAGTACATTATTTCCAATAACTTCAGCATACAGAATTTATGCATCATTCTCAACATGATAATTAAGAATTTGCTCCATTCTTTTTTTTTTTGACTAAGTACAGTAGCTCTAAAAAGGCGGTTGCTTTTAGAGGACTGACATGGGTGGAAATGACAATACATCTCCCACAATGAATATTTTTTCTTTGTGCCTAGGTTCAATTGGTTACTGTTCAGCTGACTGAGGGGAGAATTGAAGCTCAGAACTTGGCAAAGGGATGATAAGAATTACAGTACAAACCCCAAACAACTTTTTAAGAGCTGAAAGAAAATTAAAAACATTTCAGTTTGACTGGGATAAAGAACACTGCGACACAGGAGTTCCTCAGGTCCAGTGGAGAGAATCTCTGCACTTGAGGACAAAGCTTAAAGAGCATGGACATCTACTGCACCACACGGCACCCCAAATCATGAATCTAGAAGGCAATTAAGTCTTTAGCTTTCATTAATTATTTGATTAACTGGAAATTAACTTATGTTTTACATTTTATAGTGACCGTGCTTTCAAAGGAGTGTATCTTATAAAAAACTTATCACTGAGAAAATAATTACGTCAAGTCATTTGGGAACTCAAGGTGGATCTATAACTATAACACTCCTCAGGCAGAATTTGACATTGTTAATTAATGTATGGTGACAGTGATGGGCTGTGTAGATCCATCTTTGTCTCAACACGCAGAAATAATGGAGATGTTATCACCCACATTAAACAGTTACGATGTCTGTTCTCAATGGCCTTCTTTGATCATCAATAACTAAAACTGATTCACGTTTTCCTTCTCACTGATACCCTTTTGCTTTGTATCTTACAAAATTAATGGCAGAAGCAGGAACTGTAAATGTACCAAAACTCTTTAAGGGCATGCAATACAGTTTTCAATTTAAAAAAATAAAACAAAAGTACAGTATCAGTAGTCATTACATTTAACCACTTTACTGTTTATGCAGGTCTTGAAGTGAGGGAAAACCTCTCCTAATTGCTCAGTGTCACTGAATGACGAATATCATACTTTTAAGTTTTTCTACAATATATTCCAGGGGTTACAATGCAGGGCAGAGGCATCTGAGCACTGGACAATTCTGTTAGAAACCTAAAGAGGAACCTCTAAGATTCATAAACATTTGGACTATGAGACTTTGCATTCAAAATTACCCTTTTATAGCTGGGTTAAACATTCTGTATTGCCTTCGTACCAAATGTCTACAGTACAGAATGATTATTCCAACCACATACAATATGAGTTATTGTTAATACTGCAGAAAAGGCATGTTTAAGCATTATAATATCATGGCCAAATGCACTGCTTACAGTATTTATTAAACTGAAACTGACAATGAAATAATTTTCTAATTTTCTATATCAATTTGTATTGAATTAATTGAAATATTAATTATATATATTATATATTTGATAGTGCTACAAATCAGTAATATTCTCAGAACATGATATTCTTTATAATCAGCGACAGTGGAGCTATTCAGTGGAGCTGAAATGCCCAGTGAAACATAAAGTGCTCTAATTCATCTCTCATCAAAATTGTACTGAATGCAACTCGAGGGAAAATTACAGCTAGAGATGTACAGAAAAGTAGTTTCTGCTTTTTCATTTTAACTGTCAGCTAAGCTCTGAAAGCAAGGTCTCTCTCTCAAACATACACATACGTCCATATGCACACAACAGGAGCCTCCCAAGAGGCTGTAAACAGGACAAAGCATCCGATAACAACTGTTCAGTCTGCAACAAAAATGTAATGTCATTTTATAATACTGCGCTGGGAATGGCACTTTAGTTATTTGGCAAGCCACTTTTCTAAATAGCTTATAGCTCAACTGATTGGCAGACAAACACAAAAACACACACTGTACTACGGCGTTTGTTCACGGCTGTACAGGACAGGTCCCGGGTCTCCAGCTGACTCCTGCCCGCTGTCCTGACACTGTCCCCACCCAGCCAGACGGCCCGCTGGTTACTGAATGAAAGGCATTCGCTCCTTGTTGTCATTGTCACCCTCATGGTCCTCCTCCTCCTCTCCCGCCTCACTTGTCTCCGTGCTGTCATTCGCCATCTGCAGAGGAACATGGGATATCACACTCTACAATGTCCATCACTAACACAGGCACAGAACACATGGATCCTTCAGTTCTTAATAGAAAGAGTGAAGCAGCTGCACTGACAAAACAAATTAAATTTAATTTAAACATTTAAATGTTTAGGCCTTCAAAGATATTTTGTCTCTATCTTAATGATGAACTGGGAAAAGAGAATATGTTTTACAAAAAAACAGCAGAATCTGTATGCTGTTGTTCCGGTCAAAATTCTAAATACACATTCAGTACAATGAAAAGATGTTTGTGATGCAAACCTAGAAATAGGCAAACATTACACTGATCTGATCAGATCATCTAATTTAACAGAGAAGATGACTCTCTTCCAGCACCCTCTTAAGAAACCTCATTGTTTCATTTTGAGCATCCACTGCATGACACAATACAATTATAACATGATACAAGGATGTTATTATTCATAAGGCATAAAAAATGTCATAATTTACTTACAGTATGTAACGGTGATAAATTGGTTTGTAGAGATTAAGCATGTAACAATGTACAATGTAAAACGTTTATATTAGTGCATTTTCCAGTATTGTTTTTTTTAAATAATCAATACTGTTTGCTGAGGGGTTAATGGACTTTCGCACATTTTTTGCACATTGGGCCTCCACGAGCAACTAGGTTCAAAGATTCCTGAATGATTGAGTAAAAACACCATTTTTGGTGGATAGAGCCACTAAGGACTACAGAAATGTTACTTCGCCTTGAACTGCCGTTGAACTGATGGAGTGCTAATTACTAATCTCCCATCAGGTTCAGAGAATTCGCCTTTCAAGCAGACTGATTCATGAACAGACTCCAGAGATGGAGAGAGTCATAGGCTGTGAATCTGGCAATAGCCTGGCAGCACAGGGTTAGCTTTTGTTTCCAAGACATATCCTTCCCAGAACTATTTTTTATAGGGAAAGGTCTCCATGGATACAGGTGACGTGCGACTGGAAGATTTCCTGTTGACTGTCACCAGGCCTGGCCTTATTCTGATAGCCAGGGTCCAAAGAAAAGCTATCAGAATAATAGCTTTTCTTTGCTGACGTTTGTATATTTATAGTGTAACAGTTCCTTGTTTTTACGTTACTAATTTCAATGTTACTATTCTTTCATGTTAAATTAAATATATTTTAAAAACTGTAAAGATTTTTGACCCTATAAACAACAGGTATTATTAGGCATCCAGGCAGTAACTTTAATCCAACTGCGATTACAATATAAATCACACTGTTAAAATAAGCAGGCAGAGACTTGCTCAAACTCAACTGCTTCTAGTTTTCTAATGTTGACAGACTGCTTTTCATATTTAAGACCAGGCATTCAGTCAGTCTTTATCAAGGAACTATAAGGCTGATTTCATTAAATAATCCTATTCAGATGTTCCTCCAATCTAAGATGCCTGGATAGGAGATAACCTTTGCTCTTTAACAAGAACACATCTAAAGAAACAAGAGTCTACCTGATTTAAAAATGGAACTTAAATAGTTCCATAAGCATCCCCTGATACGTAACAATACTTGTCAATTTTGGAATTACCAGCAGTTACTCATTGCCCACTGCAAGATGTTTAACATCGGCACAGAGGAAAGCGTGGCATCACACAAGGACAGCTACTTCAATTCACATGGCAGATGAGCCAGGCATAACAGAAAGAATTGCAGTGTCAGAGAAAGCACTGATGCAGCTCCAAGGATAACGCTGCAGCACACTATTTCAAAACCTCCCCTAACCCAGAAGCAGTACAGTAGGTTGTGCACTAGCCCAAGAGTCACCAAGACGCCAGATTCAAAGCAGCAGAGGTACAGTACATTTATAAGGCTCAGTCTGCAGTCACGGCAGTGTGTTTTTATATGTTCAGACAATTATTTCTCCTTTCAACAGACTGTGTGCATGTGAGATCGTAGGGCAATGGGAAATATAAAAAAAAGCTTGCAGGGTTTTCTGTGGAAATGTTCTAATACTAGAGAAAAAAACAGGGAGGAAAAGAAGAAAAACAAATTACTGTATACTTTTTGTTAAATAATTTCTTTAAGAATGCTAAGACAATTATATGAACCAGATTTAGGCTGAAGAAATCTGGATGAGGAATGAAGACAATAAGAAGTGTAAACGTTGATATTGTTTAAACCTGATGTTATTAGTAATCCTGTAATCCCTGAGTGAGCAATCAACCGCTTGTATCACAACAGACCAATTCACACATACAGTATACAGTATATTATTACTCTTGTTGGTGTGCTGTGCATGTGTTAGTGTTGTATTAATAAATTGTATACCGTATATTTAGAATCCATGTTCATGACTACTTATTGTTGTGTTGGATTGATTACTTACAGCCATCAAAGCACTCTTGCAATTTACTGTTCCAATCTCTAGTTCCAGTTTATTATAAACCCCTCACATCACTACTTTAGAAATCTCAATACTGTAGAAGATGTCCTAAGCTTTAGTGTTATCTAATGTTCCTGTTGCTTGTTTGAAGAATAATAGAAAGTTTGTTGAATAAACCCGTCCTTTCCAATTCCATGTAGATTTTCATTTAAAATATCATTTTTAAGTACTGTTCTAATTTAGAGTGTAGTTAAATGATTATAGTTAACAAAGCATGCATGAACATGCTGAATGCTGTCTTGGTCTCAAAAGTTAGAATATAAAGCCTGCTGGATTTAATACTTGCCAACCTAGGGTGAATACAGTATTTTGAATGGAAGGGAATGGAATTATTACCTTTAAGATATTGAAAAAAGATGTACATTTTGGGGGGCTCTAATTTTGGCATTTAATGTATTTCTTCAGCTTCACCTTTGGATTTTATTCTGTTTTGGAGGTTTGGGCCCTGTTTTGGCCCCCAATCTGAAGAGTGCTTTTGAAGAGTGAATTGTATTTTTAAATCCATCACCATTAAAAGAAAACTCTCGGTATGCTTTATACCAAAAACCCAGAAGTTTGTCTCCATGGTGTACATTTAGGTTAGGTTTGCATAGGAACATTGGAAATCTGTACCCACCACAACTACAGCATAATTCCAAATGTTAAGGCTTATTGCCAAGAATTACTCTCCTTTCTTAAACCTTTGAGTATAATTCCAGAACAATGGCAAGGTTTACCAACCAGGGGAGTGGGAGCTTTCTCAACATCCAGGATCAGTTTTCCTATGTTGCCTCTATCGTGAATCCTCTGCATGGCCTCTTTCACCTAGAAAGAAAATGGTTTTCGAGAAAACAATTTATTAGTTGCCTAAAATCTGAAAATGACCTGGGCAGGTGTAACAAGACTGCAACATGTACACTGAAGCAGTGACAATATCATAATATGGAAGTGCCCACCACAGTACCTTACAGCATAAAGCAGTGTTTCAGATAGAGGTGATGTGCAATACTTGCAAAAAACTCGGAGCTACCTACAGGCTGACAATATTCTTCTTTGAGAACTGAGCAGTGAACAGAGTGCTTCACATGCACAGCAGGTGGCCATAATGACAAAGAAAGTGCTCCGTCATGAAGCAGTAACCTGTATAGCACCTTAAAGTTATTTAATTTGGGTTTTGGCTGTTTTTCAGAATGTGCTGCTTTATCCTCATTGCTCAGTGGGTAATACGATGTGCACTTAATACACTGTGAGCAGTATATTCTTGTAATTTACTTCTGCAAAAACTGCTTTATATTTAACCCATAAATACACACTACAGCATGATAATACATCAAAACAGAATCTTCTAATAGTATTCAGGGGTGAACTGAAAGGAGTTCAAAACATTTCCGAAATTAAAAATTTTTATGTACGTATGTACTGTATACCTCAACCTTACACTCTGCTTTGAATGATTAAGCTACAATCAGAAGAGGAAGCCAAAACAACTAGTCTTTTTTGTAACCTCATTTGCTTTCCTGTCTGGCAGTACGGTTCAGAGATTAGCAGATCGGGTCCTAATGTGTGAAAACAAGTTGCTATGAAACTACAAATAAAATGCAAGAAAGAAATCCCTTACCCATTACAAAGCGCACCACATTAGAAATATGAGTCTTTCTCTTAATGATAAACCAACTGATGTCTGATTGGATTCAGCACATTTTTACCTCCATATGACATAGCATTTTCAAGTTAGAATGTAGTTGCCACAGTGTTTCTGATACATTCATTTATTTTATTATTACGGAGTATCCTGTGTCTTTCAATACAGAATTACTGAGAAATACAGGGAGAAAAAAAAAACATTTTTAATCTAAAAGAGTTTCCTCTGAACTACTGCCCAGCAAAACATTAACAATTGGAAGTGTCTTGCCAAAGTTCACTGCCAGATCAAACCTGAAAGTTTTTTTTAGATAAAGGTATAATTGAAAAAAGTTACGTATTGGACGGATTTCATAAAATGTGTTTCAATTCTGTACAAAGAAATCAAAATCCTGAACCGCAATATTCAACGACAAATCAATGACAAACTACAAGTATTTATTCAATGACTACAGATGCACAATTTTGCCTTTCAGGCTTGAAATACCTAACTCTTGACTCTAGTGATGGATTATGTGCCTGCGAGAGAGGTGTTTGTACAGAGAAAATAAGTAAAACTTAACCTCTGTAAACCAAAAAGGTGAAACATTATCCTCCAGTGGTGTCGGTTAGTTAATGCGACTGCAATACTCATTCCACCAAGAAAGGCCAGTAGAGCTTTCCTTTTTCTTTTTCTGTGAGATCATTTTTGCTTTCCCCAAAATCTAAAATACAATACAAAAATAAAACATCCATTCCTCACACTAACACCCCTCAGCCCACACCCTCGGTGGTACTTCCCTCCAAAATTCAACCAAACAACCCCTGGCTCTCAGAGTCAGATGGTGACAATGGTTCCACAAGCCTCCACTGGTCCTTATAAATACAGTAATATTAACAGAGTTAGCAGAGCATTTCTAATGTAGCTAAATCCAGGACACTCAGATGTCTGCGTTCTGCCTGCTCCATAAATCCACAATTATTTTTAACTCTAATGGGAGACGGGCTCACTGTCCAAGGCTCTTTACTGAGCTGTAAAGTCTCTATCCTCTCAGAAGAGCAGGTGCTGAAAGCTCCTTCTTGACAACAGGGAGACGGCCTGCTTTTTCTCACGCTGCCGTGTTCTGTGGGACTTGAATACAGGGCAGCTAGTATATGAACTGTAGAAACGGGGCTGAACCACCAGAGGGAGGCGTTGAGACAGTTCCCAGTACGCAATCACTGGGGAGCTAGGGGTTAGTCTAAGAAGCAGACCTTCACAGTCACTTTGGGACAGAGAGCACCGGGTGGGAAACGATAATAAGATTTTTAAAATCGTTACGGGGTGGGGGGGCTGTAAAAGCAAAGTCAAGAGTTAACTTATTAAGTAGCATCCTCGATTGTTGCCGTGCCAGCGCGCCGGTAAGAAAGAAGATGGGTGAGACTGGTCTAAACCAGGTCAGGCGTTTCCACTGCTACTCGTTTCTGATGTGGAGTCAACTTGCGCTTTTGCGGGGAGACTACAGGATGAAGAAGGAAGCGTACCATAGGCTGTTTGATCTGATTTGTGCAGATTCCTTTGCTACGCTACCATCAAAGTGGGATCTGTTACATAGACCTGAGGTCTTTCTCAGCCTTGCTGGTAGAAATTGCTAAGATAAGGATGGCGCACAAGCCTTTAAAAGTGTAATTAATGAAAATTGTTCAAAGATAGTGGTTAGGAGCACAGCCAGGCCGAGCATCTTTAGACAAAAAAAACGTCCTCTCAAGTCACTTTATAGTACAATGCCCTCCAAAATGATTGGGATAGCTTTAGTGCTGGATGATAGGAAATACAGGTACATATTTGTTTGCACAGGCCATTGGCTGTGTCAATGAGTTATTCACACACAAGGCCAAATAAGAGAGCATTACTGTCATGTGTATTGTCAGATTTGTAGTGATTCTCCAGACTGGGTTCATTTCTGTACAAAAGTTGCACACAGCTATACAACTAATGAGTCTAATTCTAATTATTCTCATTCTAATTACCTGTCCCACCTTATAGTGATTTAGACTTTTTTAACATATATTTGGTTTGGTCATTTTAAATAACTTATAAAAAATGAATTAAAAGTTGAAGTAAAAATGAATGTCAATTGCAAACTGATTCTGGAGTGCAGAAAGCGTATCTTAGCATTAACTGGATAATTCTGAAGTATGCCATATCAGTGAATATTGCACATTTTTAATTTCATGCTGGAACATCAGACAAAATGAAATTCATGTCCTGAACCCTCTGTGCTTATGTTTAAAATCCATACACATACAAAAACGTTTCATTTATCACTTAAATCTCCTTCACACAATTATCTGAAATGGTGCAATGTGAACATTACTTTGTTTACATGTTTCTTCACCAGTATACAGTATTTCGCTGTTGAGACAAGCCCCATGTAGGAGCATTAATGATTGACACAAGTCGATATGGTCATAGTCCATCTACTTTATGCTAGTGTATGTTTTGTGGGAAAATGACATATTCTAGCCCATCCAGGAGCTACAGTAGGTGCGTTGACCCACTGTAGTTAAAGCAAATGATATCAACAAAATTATCACATACGTAGGTTAACAGAATATCAATGCCACCATGAATCATTTAGCATTTCAATGTACTTTCACTACAATCTGAAGCTCTTTCATCAACTGTACAGTACATTCCTAACTGATGCCAATCCTCATTTTCTTTGTACTTATGCTGAGTATCGGGGCATGTTTTGGGGGTGATATTATGTTAACTTAACATACAGCACTGACAGACTGTTGTGTAGTGTCCAACCTTTTCTACTAAAATCCGTAGATTTGACTGGATTAAAATGTGTGTCTGTGGCAGGGTTATGTAAGGAGAGACTGCAATGTGTGGAACCTGCCTTTAAGGGCCACTAAAGGTGACCTCTAACACTTTAAAATGGCTCTGATATAAAACTTTGATTCATCCATGCAGCAGAATTCCATTTATGTTTATCTTCTAATACTAAAGCTGTTAAGCACGTTTTATTCATGAATTAACATCATTTACACTAATCTGGAGTTCCTTAATTATTACAAAAGCAAAAAGCAACCAGGAGTGTGTAAGAGGCTGCTTGTAATTCAGCACATTAAAGAACTGAAACGTATTTCTTTTCTGAAAGAAAACTTCATCAACATGCCGCAATTCATGTTCCATGTGTTCTTTAAATGGACCTTCAGTTAACTGTACACCAAAATAACTTCTTCTATTTGAACGATTTGCAGCCTGTAAATGCACTTTTTGACTTGCACAGTTAGATTAAACAAATTGATTAGATGTATTACAAGATGTGGCTCTTCTTCAACAATGGCTGCACCCTTTTTGACTCGTACAGCTAGGTTAAATAAATAATTTACCCAGAGTTTAATTACTGTTCCAGTTGCATAAAGGATTTTTAAATCCAAATGCATCCAAGGTCAAAACATTCTAGGTCAATTTGTTCTTCTAATAATGTAGACAGAGCACAAATTGGAGAGAATACACCAGTCCTGACTGCTTTGCGGAGTATGGTACATGTCATGAAAGTTTTAAAGTGGCCCCTCCTTTATTTTCACCTAGTAAATGAGGAACTTTCCCACACATGTGAGCCTGGTTACCCCTTCAAAGCTCAGCAGGAGGTACGTTTTCTATGCTGCGTCTACTTGCGTCCCCAGCTGAGTCATGCTGGCCTGAAAACCGTGAGCATTCACACAGTCAGAAAATGAGGAGGAGGTGGCAAACAGAACACTCTTGGCTTAGAAAATACACAAGCCCTAATTGGGTCCTTCATGGAGTCATGGTTTCAAAGAATACACTCTATCGGCTGGCAGCGCACCAAGTCAGCACTAAAGACAAAAAAACACAGGTTCCCAGGATAACACGAAAGCTCAGCAAAATAAAAAGGACAGTCAGTAGATTAAAACCAGAAATCTCTGCCAGTTTTTAAAAAGAGGACAAAAACGAATTAGTATGTGCATCTTTTTCAGCACTCATCATCTGAATAAGAAATATAGCACTGTTTCTTGTTGACCGTAACAGTTTTTTTGTTTGTTTTTTTTTATTTTAAGAGGATTTGCACTACAGAAATTAAAGATAGAGTAATTCACACTATGACACAGAGCCAAAGTACACACAGCGAGCTAACACTGGTACTCGAGACCAGGGAATGGGCATAGTGAATTGTCACAAGTACTCTCTG